ATAGTTGGTACCATCTTAACTTTAAAGTCACTAAACAATAAAGCATATACACTAATCCTCTCTGAAAAATTGTATCCTGATGCCATACGTACAGCTTGTCATGAAGCAGTTCTCCCAGCTTCAATTCTAGAAGAAACAGAACAGGATACATCATTACTTTGAATACAGTTATTCAAAGCTTTTCAGGCTATTTAAGCAAAACAGCTCTTTGGACTGGCTGAAAGACCTTATACTACAAGTATAAGGAGAAAGAATGCTTTGCATTTGAAAGCTTGTCTAATTTTATCCCAGCTATGCGTTGATCCAATAAAGGAAAGCACCTACAAAAAAATCCTTATACTATATGATAAGATGACCCCAGTGGGAGAATGTCTTGCTGCTCATCTTTATAAGATTGAAAGGCTAAACACCAGGTCCTCTTACTCTTCTTTATCTTGTCCCCTCTCTGTCATTCCGAAAATTTGAAGGTAACTTAAAATTTTCTTACAGCATCACTTAAAGAATTTCTCTAGCATAGAATTATAAGAGAATTCTCAGACAGAGGTAAATTACATCATACAGATTGCAGGTTGCAGTTTTTTTATTTCATGCTGAGATAAATCAGTTTATCAGTTTATTATCAAGATAAATTAACATTAAGGAGAAGCAATCTAGACCGGGGTGGGCAAAATTTGGCCCATGGACCAGATGTGGCCTGCCAGGCAATTCTAGCTGGTCCACGGGGCCCCTAAATACTAATTTTCTCAATTTTTTATCTGCCCCTGGCTTCCGATCATGTGGCCCTTGATGGCTTGCCAAAACTCAGTAAGCGGCCCTCCACCCAAAATAATTGCCCACCCCTGATCTAGACAGTATCTGCTTACAGGTATTCATTGACTCTCTATGACCTGAATGTATTTTCACCAAAAACTCAGTTTTATCAGGTGTAGAAATACACTGGGTACAATGCTGCATCCTAGAAGTTGACTGTTCTGATATCTGTTACAGATAAATTACAAAAATGGCATTTCTAGGAAAACAGAAGACAGGTCCATCCTGAATATGCAAATGCTTCCCATTAATAAGAGTTTGTGGGGTAGAAGAGCACAAGATGGTTTCAAGACAACAGGAAAAGCATATGGAAAAGCCAGATGGGCACAGCAAAAGCATATGGAAAAATACAGCCATATATAATGGAGGACATCTATACCTTCTAAAAAGGGGCTGCTAGTTTCATGGCCCCAGTCGTACAAGAAGCTTGGCATAGGCAGAACCTTGAATCTGCAAAGCCCCAATATAATCAATGGGACCAAACCATACTGGAGGTCATTTCTCTATTAGACCCCCCAGGCTGAAAAACAGACTTGAAAAACATGTTTGCAAAGAATTCCAGTTCTCTGGGCATCTTGCAGCAATGCAAAAAGTACAACTCACCTCTACAAGCCTCTTCAAAATCCTGCGTAATATCTATCCAGCTGGTATTACTTTTTTCCATCTTGTCAGGTATACTGAGCTCCCATCCTGAATCATCATCTTCTACAGAAGCTTTCATAACCATGCTACTGCACCTATACATCCAAAGCACAAACACCACACATCAAAAACAAATGACAGAGAGTGCTTCACAGGGGAGCAAATGTTATTGTTAAGGAAAACATGCAAATGTAAGTTTAAAAAGCTGTAAATGTAAATTTAAGGCGGTCAGCCCCAACATTCACCTTCTCTTCCAAAGGATGTTTTCTCTTTTAGAATTCCCAGATATATCAATAAGAGATAACATTTTGCTGTGCTTATTTTTGTGAGTTTAACAGCAGTAATGGAGAACCCCCTGATAAAAGTCAGAGTTATATTAAAACCCCCCAATATGTTAAAATAATGTATGAACAGTTTCTAACATTATATATACACTATTCCCGGGTGTCAGACTCATCTGGCCTCTGATGCAGGCCCAGTCCACATGCTGGATCAGGCCTACAGACCCCCCTCTGCCCCCCCACATCTGCCTGGCTAATCTAGCACAGGTGGCACCTACCCAGGCTGGTATGGCACCACAGGTGGCACAGCCCTCCTAAAAGCTATTTAAGCAGTTTCTTTTGAGCAAGAAATGTCCTTAGGTGGCTGTTTCTACTCATGGTATATTGTGGAAAATTAGCAATGAGCACAAATAACCAGCTATGCATGTGTGTGAGAAAGCAACACACACCCAGAGTGTGAAAAATCACTGTTAATCCCTCACAAATATCCCAAGTAGGCAAAATACTACAGCTTCTCCACACTAGCCAGCCAATGTAACATATTACATCCCTGACTTCGCTGGCATGTCAATATTGCATCCAGACTAGGTTTTAATTCAGGTCAGTTTTGTCAGGAACAGACCAGCCTCCGTACAAGTAAACAGGGAAGAGGAGAGGGGTAATGGTACACGCAGGTTGCCAGGAAGAGGATGGCACTCTTCTTCTCCATGTCCATCATAGATGAGCTGCTGTTTAAGAACTTTGGTCCAGTCAGAGAGGTGCTGCTAGCAGCACATGTCCCAGGCACTGAGCATGGGGATGGTCCAGCATAGCAAAAGGGGCACCACCAGGGGCTGCATTATGGAGCTCAGCAGACTGCACATATGATACCACTACACTATACTATACCTTTGCTTTCTGGCTGTTTTATAATAACCATCGCTGTCGGCAATCCCTCGCAGTCCAGGATGACTGTCTTCCACGATGGTCTTATCCGTGAATCTGAAGATGGCTGACAAAACCTATCCAGGATTGAGAGACACTGTTCCAAATTGGGCACACGTTTCCATGCAAAGTGGGTGGCTCTGGGGTCTTGGTTCAGTCCACAACACTGTTTCTGCCACTCCCATTTTTCCATCTCCTGTTGTCATTTTGAAGTTTCAGCATACTAAGATCCTTGCAGCAGACTCTTCCTCTATTCAGCGCAGTGCTGGGCAACAGTCTCCCATGAGCTGATATCGCTGCTGCATTTTTCCAAGTTAGCCTTGAAGACACCCTTGAAGCACTTCCCTTGTCCTCCTCAAGGGTACGCCTTGCCTGAGCTGGGAGAATGCAACTTACTTTGGGAGTCTGGAGTCGGATATCCAGATGATGCAGTCAGCCCAGCAATGTTGATGCTGGATGATCGTTGCCTCTATGCACACAGTGTTTGCTTGCGAGAGGATGCTAATGTTGGTCCATCTGCCTCCCCACTGGATTTGAAGGATCTTCTGCAGGCAGCGTTGACAGCACTTCTCCAGTGACTTGAGGTATCTTCTGTACGTTGCCCATGGGTTTTTGGCCCACGAACCCCTAAAGTGGCAAACAGATCTGTATGCCATCCATGTCTCAGCCCCATGCAAAAAGGCAGGGAACACGACTGTTTGATAAACCACGAGCTTGGCTTCAGATTGGATGTCACCATCTTCAAACACTCAATGCTGACAAGCACAAGGTGATGCACCTGGGGAGGAAGAACCAGCACCATACCTACAGGCTGGGGAACTCCCTTCTTGTCAGTACAGAGGCAGAAAAGTATCTTGTAGTCATCATTGATGCCACGATGAACATGGGCCGGCAGTGTGAGGATGCAGTCAGGAAGGCCAACCACACCTCGTCATGCATCCACAGATGCATTTCAAGCAGATCCAAGGTAATACTCCCCCCCTCTATGCGGCACTGGTCAGGCTAAAGCTGGAGTACTGTGTCCAGTTCTGGGTGCTGCACTTCAGGAGGGATGTGGACAGCATGGAGAGGGTCCACAGGAGGGCCACTCGCATGATCAGGGGGCAGCAGGGCAAGCAGAGGCTATGGGACCTGAACCTATTCAGCCGCCACAAGAGAAGGCTGAGGGGGATCTAGTGGCCTTTTACAAACTAGTCAGAGGGGACCAGTAGGCATTGGGGGAGTCCCTGATCCCCTGAGCACTACCAGGAGTGACGAGAAATAACAGTCACAAGCTGGCAGAGGGTAGACTTAGGCTAGATATCAGGAGGCGCTACTTCACAGTCAGGGCGGCTAGGATCTGGAACCAACTTCCAAGAGAAGTGGTGCTGGCTCCTACCCTGGAGGTCTTTAAGAGAAGGCTAGATGAACACCTGTACTCTTTCCTGCCATGGCAGGGGGTAGGACTTGATGATCTGCTCAGGTCCCTTCCAACTCTACTAACTATGAAACCCATTTCCTCAGGCACTCCGAGGCTGCCCTTGCACATTAGTGGCTGTGTGAGCTACAGAAGAAGCCAAAGCAAACTGGACTCCCCCACATGCAAAATGCTAGAAGCCGGGCAGGCTCCAAGCCCTTTCCGGGGGGGGTCTCTTAACCACAGCCTTGGGGACCAGGATGAATCCACGGGCAGAAGTGCCGAGCAGCGGGCTGGGAGGGGACCTCCGGAGATCACTAGTCCAACCTCCCCAGCCCTACACACCCAGGGCGCCTATAGTCCTAGAGACCCCTCCCCACGTCCTTCCCCCACCGCCCCAACGCAGACATACGCTGTTTGCGTAGTGCCGGGCCTCACGCGCCCCTCCGCAGCCCCCTACACTCCGCTCGGGGGCTCTGAGGAGCCCCTCCCCGGCGCCAACCCCCTTCCGTCAGACCACTGCTAACGCAGCCACGACGGGGAAGAGAGGGAGGACGGGCCGCCGCCTCACCGAGCGCTGCTGCTCCCGCTTAGCCGCAGGCCCCGAGTCTGCGTCGCTTGCCGTCAGCGCCCGGCCCGGCCGAGCCCGCTGCTGCGCACGCGCAAAACCCCCTCGCCTCCCAACGGCCGGCGTCCGGCACGACCTCAGGGTCACGCGCATGCGTCTACCAGCCCCTCCCCCCATTTCCGGAAGCCGGGGCTGGGATCTCTGGAGTGCGCATGCGCCAGCTGTGCCGGTGAACACAAGCCAACATGCCCTCTGTGCCGCGATAGCGCCATGTATCGCGAGAGGTGACCGCAGCCGAACGCTCGGTATGGGAAGGACTGCGGGGAGAGGGCGTGGCTTGCGGCAGAGGTGGGCGCGGCTAGGCGGAGGGGCGGGGCATCCCGTGATCTACTGCTCTGCGGCCGTTTTTAGGGCGCTCGGTTGAGCTGCTGTTGCCTCCAGGTGGGGCCGGGAGTGCAGCCCGGGCCCATGGCGTCCGCTGTGGTTC